CCATATGTTACGTAACTTTAAGAATGCATTTCTAGCTTTACCAATTCTTGCTCTGATGTTTTTGACTGCTCCCCCATCTGATGTAACTATGCTTCCCAGGTAGGTGAATTTGGAGGTGCATTCCAGAAGGAGGCTTTGAGATGTTAAGAGGCTTGACTTCTGATTTCTATATATTGATGTTCAGTCCAACCATACTCGCATTATCTTGTAATTTTGTGGTTTTGTCTTGCATATGTGTCTCAAGATGTTACAGTAAGGCCAGATCGTCTGCATAGTCGAGGTCCTCTAGGTATGTAAATAGATTCCATCTGATGCCTGTGTTGTTACGGCTTAACGTTGATTTCGTTACCCAATCGACGTCTATTATAAAGAGAAGGGATAACATGACACAACCTTGACTAACTCCGGATTTTACATGAAAACTTGCGTCTGGTAAAGTACCTGCAGTGCATTTGAAGTCTGTATAAAATATTTGTATAAGTTGTACTATTTTTGTTGGTATGCCATAGTCTCGTAAGATCTTCCATAAGCTATCTCGGTGTAAACTGTCAAACGCTTTTTCGAAATCTATGAAGTTAATTATAAGTTGTCTTGATATGATATTTCTTAGTACAAAAGTATGGTCACAGCAGCCCCTTCCTTTCCTACATCCTGCTTGCTCTTTCCTTGGTTGTCAATTGCTGCTTTGTATGACGTTTCCTTCTGACCAGTTTTTAGGTATCTTGTAATATTGTCAAATCTTTTCAAATACTGGATGTAGAATGTTTGCTGTTGCGGTTGGATCTACTTTAAATATTTCTGCTGACAGCTTATCATTTCCAGGGACTTTTTTGTTTTTAAGGTTCTTTACAGATCTTTCTGTCTCAGATTTAGATGGAATTTCTGTGTTTATCTCAAGATTTTGTTCTACACTTGCTATATTTACTGCTATTTCCGGTTCTGGCCTATTTAATACTTCTTTGAAATGTTCTTTCCATCTACTTGCTTGCTCTCTTTCAGATGTTCTTAGTCTACCCTGCTTGTCTTTCACTGGCATGTTTGTATTTCTTTTGTAACCACAAAACTTCTTTGTGATCTGATATACATCACCAACTCTTTGTTCTGAAGCAGCCTTTTGAGCCTCTAGTGCCATCCCTTCACTGAAGTATTTTCTGTCTTTCCTAACGGCTTTCTTTACTTCTTTGTTGCAGTTGTAGTATTGTCCTATCAATCTCTGTTTTAGTCTGTCTGAATGTGTATGACATATCATTTTCTTCAGTTCTTTCCTGTTGTCAATAAGTGCCCAAGTCCCTGGTTTGATCCATTCTTTGTATTTTTGCCTTTAAAACCCTAGTATTTTTTCACTGGTCTTTTTAAACATTTCCTCCACTTCTAGCCATTGTTTGTCTATTGTTTCACTTTCTTCAATGTTGGCTTGATGTTCTAGGAGTTGAACGCGGTTCTTCAGTTCTAGTTTAAAGTCATGCCGAGTCTTTATATTTCTAAGTTTCCTTGTGTCAAATCTCTGTATTATGCAAGATGTTGATGCTCTCAATAGTTTGAGCTTGGTACTAGCTGTGACAAGATGGTCGTCACTTCCTACATCAGCGCCTCGCCTTACTCTCACATCTTGTAAGGATCTCCTACATTTCCCATTGATTGATTGCTATGTGGTCTAATTGATTTTTATCTCTTCCTCCTAGTGATATCCAAGTAAGCTTATGGACCTATTAGTGTGGGAATAGTGTTCCACCTTTTACTAGATTATTCAGCCCACAGAAGTCTACAAGATGTTCTCCATTTTTGTTCATTCTACCACGACCATGTTTCCCCATTACTCTCTCATAACCACTGTTGTCATTTCCTTCTTTAGCATTGAAATCTCCTATGATGATTGTTAGGTCTTTTTGGGGGACTTTCTCTATCTTAGCTTGGAGTTTTTCATAAAATACTGTCTTATTTTCTATATCAGCCTAATCTGTTGGAGAGTATACTTGGATGATGGATGTCATGATTGGCTTTGTATTAAGCCGTACTCTCATTATTCTTTCGTTGACTGGATGGTATTCTAAAAGTGATTAGTATGTGCAGCTTGTTTGGCTTCATTTCTCTCAACACTTGAGCTTGTTTTCCTGTCTCATACATAGTATGTACATTCCGAAAGCCCACTTTAAGTTTGGTTATTGTATTCAGGATACTCTTCATGCGACCAGCTTCCTGTTGACTTTCACTGGTCCCATTCATATGTGCAGAATTCTGCTGGTATTCTGATGTTACGAGAAAAGTTGATTTTTTTCTAGTCCTTGTTTCCGTAATCAGATACTTTTTTTTATGAGAAGGGGAGATTAGTCCCTAGCTCAACCTCCAACCTGGTGAACCAGGGTTATTTGTTTATGGTTTTCCTTCCACTAGATGGATGCCTTCCAAGGCTTACGAGTCCGCTCTACCCGTTGATTTTGATTTTAGAGTTTTCTTCTCTTAGGAAAGCTGCCTTATCCTGGCTCCGACCCTCTCCTGACCCGCTAATTGACCCTTAGCTGGGGCAAGGTTAATGAGGTATAGGGCGTGTCTACATACCAATGGGCCTACACACTGCATCTCTGGGGCCCTTGCTGCTCCGAGATCCGAGATCCCCAACAGTTTAGCCTGAATACTATATGTAATCAGTATCCGTGTGCTACCGCGAGGAGGATACTACTGGAGTCTTGGTAATGCAGAGGCTATGTACTGGCAGGAAAGACTTACACACTCGGCTTTCTTTTCACAAAAATATTGCTAGCCAGCGGCATAAGACATCCATTAGGTCAGTCCCATACACTAGACGCATGACATTACCCTGTGGTACAACACTACCACCAACACACGATTTTAGACTACAAGCAAATGTTACCACAGATGAAGTAAGATGAATTTAGATTAACTCCTCCTTCAGCAGATGGTCTCTATCAGCATGTTCTTGTTCTATGCCCCCATGAAACTATATTAACGTTTGGAACGTAGTACCTGGCGATCTTGCTTGTATCTATTATGTATAGCAACGAGAGTTTGTTTATGAAGAGCTCAAAGATGTCGAGTGACTCATTATACACATAGCAATGCGAATTTTCAGATACTGATGGATTCTACGGAAGACCAAGCCTGACGACTGGTGGGGAAAAAAACTGCCGAATTTTAATCTCTTTCAGAGAAGATCTAAGATTCCTTGCATATATCACAAAAGAAATAGTCCTATGGTGTGGACGTTTTATAAGTTTTGTCACTCTGGTTGATCCCGTTCTATATATGATGATACTTGTAAGGTCAACGATCTCAGCAATTATGAAAAATGTGTTGCATGATATACAGAAATTATATTAAAGATCTTAAATATGACTGGTCGACATTTTAACGCAATAAATTAGTCGCACGTGAGGCTTAGTGAGTTTTACTTTAGGGTGACATTTGTGAATTGTGAAGAGTGAAGGTATCGTGACCTGCTAAATTTATTCGAAATAAAACGCGAGTATCATAAAGCACATCCATGCAGTAACATTCAACAGTAAATATTGAAAAGTTTGGCTAATTTCTACCAAATGTAGTTGCTTTCATTTAAAAATAAGGGAAATGATTGCTTATTCCTACCCAGTGTAATTGCTTTTTTTTCAAAAATATTGGAAACGGTTACTGATTCCTTCCCAATAAAATTGCTTTTATCTATAAATATAGGAAACGATTGGTAATTCCATGCGATACTGTAACTTTCATTAATAAATATTGTGGAATTTCAGTCAAATTTGATCATTTCTCGTGATACACTAGAACATGTTCTGTGACTTACGGACAGACACTCTCCCTAAGGAGCATTTGCAATCACATTGAATTATATTTAGTTTGTAACCTGGCAGCGGGAGGCATTCCTTGTTTCAACTGATATGGATGCAAACCAAAACTCGTAATTACCCTAATTGAACACTGGTAATATCGTTTGTCAATCTGACAAAGTCTATGCTATTTTTATACCCACACCACCCGATAATCGACCGCAATTCCACAAAGTGCAATAAGGCCGTTATGTATGGTATATGGTCAATATGTTAAATATAACAAAAGTGCAGATAGTGCCAATTACACAAATCCTTAATATCTGAGATATCAATGTATTATTTACTCTATCTTGCACTTTCTTGAGATAATTTTGTAAGCCGAAACTATACTTGACCACTAATAAGCATTCAATCAAAGTGAAATAAAAGGAAAAACGAGATGTTAATGTCAAGCCAAATTAATTTATTAAGGAGCAATGCCGATACTGTATTTACAAAAGATGTTATGTTTTTTAAAGACATATTATGTCTTATATACTGTATCTTATCTACTTATCGTATATAATATATCTTGTCTAAGTATATGATAAGTTTATTAGATATCATATGTATATAAATATATATATATGAAATATCATACATTTTAAGATATCACATAGATTCTTTTTAGTTTCATAGCATATCTTATAAAGTTTTGCGATAAAAGATATCTTTATAATACACAGATATCACATGATTCACATTGCTCCACAAAACATCTTATGTTGCCATGTTCATCGTCAAAAAGTAGAGGAAAACAATGCTAATCTCAACATCGATAAAAACGAAGGAGGTCTTGGTGGAGGGTTTCTGATTGTGGGTGGTGGTCCCTTACCACGTTGGAGGTATGGGTGTAGGGTTTCTGATTGTCGGTGCTGGTCCCTTACCACGTTAAAGGTATGGGTGTAGGGTTTCTGATTGTCGGGGATGGTCCCTTACCACGTTGGAGGTATGGGTGTAGGGTTTCTGATTGTCGGGGATGGCCCCTTATCACGTTGGAGGTATGGGTGTAGGGATTCTGATTGTCGGGGGTGGTCCCTTACCACGTTTGAGGTATGGGTGTAGGTTTCTGATTGTCGGTGGTGGTCCCTTACCACGTTAGAGGTAAAGGTGTAGGGTTTTTGTTGATAGTTCTTAACATGCTACGGTTAGATTTAAAAATCAAAAACAAAACTGTTGATAAAAGTTTTATTCAAGACATGGACATATATTGATGGTTCTTATTTTTCAAATATCACTGAACATCTAACCGGAAAAACGCGTAATATCGGATTAAGAAATAACCTATGTCGACATAGACCGGTTATGAGACGATAATGAGACCTAATACAAATGTTAAACCATGATTTTCACTTAAACTTGTGTGCTTCATTCTTTTCCCTTGTCACGTTTAACATCCTCAGTTTTTTTCTTTGGCTCTAGAGGCATATCATCAAACAAAGTCAGAGCACAGCATGCGATACCTGTCAGAGGTGCGAGGATAGGGACGGTATTAGCGTCACTCCAGATCTGGGAATCTACGTCAAAACTATCCACACTACTTAGCCGTTCCTTCGTCGACCAGTTGTGGCCACCGACAACGTAGATTTTACTCCCTAAGCATGCACAGCCAAACTCAGATCGGGGATTTTTCATGCTTGTCAATGTAACCCAGGTGTCACTCGTTGGAGTATATTTTTCGATGGATTCGACACATGAAATCTTTCCCATGTTTCCGACACTAGCTCCACCAAACAGGTACAGCGATCCCTTCACGGGCAGTAAATGAGCGAAGTATCTGGCTTCCTGAATAGGCTTTTTCGACTGCCATTTATTATTTGTCGGGCTGTAACATTCGACTACGTCCAAGGTACAAATGTTTGAACCACCTGTAAATAATAAAAAGTACAATAACAATGGAAATGTCAATTGTGTTCTATTGATAATTTGAAAAAAAGATTAAGTTGGGTATAAAACAACACCAAGTATTAAACGTTGATATATTTTGTTATATGTCACCTGAGTGCTCCCATGTCTTGATGTTGTTCAGCGTCACACACTATGCTGTGCTTTATTCCTATCAAAACCAGCTTAAAAACGCGATTCAAATAATGTTGTAAGATAGACCGCAGGGAACAGATATAAGATAAAAATAAAACCATGATATGGGATGGGAGACCTTCCTATCTGCAATATACCGGAAGTTATTCGAATCAATATACCGGAAGTTATTCGAATCAATATACCGGAAGTTATTCGAAGCAATTTGGCTAAACAAAAGTATATAAAATCTACAATAATTAGAAGAAAAACAATCTTATTACACTAAAAGTACACGAACACCACAAATTCTACAAAATACATGGAGCTCTGTTTTCTGTGACACTCCCGTTGTGATAGAACTATTGAAGAAATGTTTACACCTGTGTAATTTCCTCTAGGTTTTGAGAAACCTTTCCGTACATTTCTTCATTCAACGTGTTCTATGAAACTGATACCCACTCCGGATATTACAGAATCAGCTCAATATAGCACCAGGGTCACTATTAATTAGACTGACCCAGGACTGTATTCATCGTAGCAGGCAGATGCCTGCCAGTCGACATTTCCGAAGCTCGTAGAAACAGGAGACGGACAAGCGTCAATGAGATTACGCACCACGACAATGAGAAGGTCACCAGGTGGCGTCTTGGGTCTGTTACAGTATCCACATCCTGTGGGACAGCACTGCGCAAAGGGCAGCTTCATACACTAATGATGAACTACCTTATATATCATATACTTTCATATTAAACAAATATCTCGGACAATGCATATACATACTGACACGTTAAAGTTTCATCTTTCGAGTAGTTGTGCGAGTCCGAGTCACTGAAGTGTTAATGCTAATCAAACTGGTAGCTGTGCATTCAATTAAATGAGTTACCGGAAGCAAGATATTATGAACATCCTGGGCGTATAATATAATGCCATCCGGGTTCTGACAACAATAAAGTATGCAAGGTGACACCTGAACCGTTGTTATGTGAAGTAACTTTCTAAAATACTTGTCTTTCTATTTCTAGGTTGTAGTATCCCGCTCACAATAGTGTGTAGATTGTATTTGCTTTATAGGCTGCCTTTATTGCTATTTCTAGAAGTCTTTCTTTATGTTTATAAGGATCAGATATCAAACCGCAAACTGCTTTGTTGAAGTGCAAAAGAGACTGCCTAAACTGTTCAATAAGTGCCCCTTGATTACTCATTTACAGCGCCGATCGATATTTCCCATTTCCGGTGTCAAAGACAGCCTTAGCGTCGTCAGTTCGTAGCCTTAATCAGTCGAAATTGGTCGCCCCTCAGACAGGTAATAAAAAGGTTAACAAGGTGAGTTGAAAAAACAGCCGTTAAACCATTTTATTTGTACAAATTTGTTTCGTATTCTTTAAATGATGCGTAGAGCGGTAATGTAGAATCACAGAATCTGAATATGTAATGCAGATGTGAATCGACACAAAATGCGTAAATTGATATTATTTACACTACAGCTGTTAAGTGTAAATTGATATAAAATACACTACAGCTGTAAGGTGTAAATCGTTGAGATACACTAAGATGTAAGGTGTAAAATGATACTGGATACACTACAGCTTTGGGGTGTAAAGTGATATAAAATACGCTCAGCTATATTAAGTGTAAATTGATATAAAACATTAAAAACTCTGTGGATTCCGCCAAACTCAATACAACAAATGAATTCTGGTATTTTAAGGATCGCAAAATTCAACAACTATATCAGTTTCTACAAAGACATTACCACCAGTGCCTCCAGCAGTATACAGGCGTCCGTTGAGGACAGCTGCTGACACACATCTGCGAGCGCTGCTAAGAGAGGGTACCTCCTCCCATACATCGAGTTGGGGATTATACTTCTCAACAGAAGAGAGCGCCTTGAATTCGTCTTCTCGTCCACCTGAAAAATAAAATCAAGATGAAATATCAACAAAAAAACCCAACATCGTGTCAGTTTAGATTTTATTACAATGTTTATGTAACTATGTACATGTATATTACAAAAAGTATATGTCACTTTATTCAGTTTTTCTATTCGTGCTTAGGATCTGCACACATCTATGCCACCCAAGCTCTCGGTATTATCCATTTCAAGCATTTTGCTTTTTACAGTCGACTAATCTTAATTTCTCAAACAAGTAAAATAAAGAGTTCCATTAGCTTAACCTTTGTATACATTGGACAGCACAGTATGCAGTTATTTGCAAACAATTGTTGAAATTTTGTAACGACACAGTGATGCGATTACAGGATTGTGTGTGGTGAGTTGTTCGTAACCAAGATAATAAATATAATATTGTCTTTGATAAACATTAATATTGGTTAAATGTTCCTTGATTTAAACAAATACTAGTGGAGCATTGGTGTTGGTTTTGGTAAAAACTAATAGTAAACTCTCCCATAGTTAGGTTAATATTGCTGACGAGTTGTCCATTATATATATATATACTTGTTGTCTTTGATGTAGGTAAATATTAGCGTTAAATCGTCCTTAAGTTAGGTAAATGCAAGAGATGAATTGTCTTATCTAGGTAAATACCAGCATTGGATTGTCCTTAATTTAGGCAACCAGCGTTGAATTGTCTTAATTAGGTAAATACCAGCGTTGAATTGTCGTAATAAGGTAAATACCAGCATTGAATTGTCTTATTTATGTAAATACCAGCGTTGAGTTGTCCTTAATTTAGGCAACCGGCGTTGAATTGTCGTAATAAGGTTAATACCAGCGTTGAATTGTTCTTAATTAAGGTAAACATATTTACAAATGGCGAGTTGTCCTTAACTCAAACGATTACAAGATAAATATTACTGGAGCATTGTTGTATGTCAAGGTAAATACAGGCGGAATATATTGTGTCCTTGATTCAGACAAATCTAGCGTTGAATTGTTCATGATTAGAATACATTGGAGGTTAATTTTCTAATAAGTAGCCCCAAAGAGCTGATATATATATTGTTATACTGGGTAACTACAAGGTTTCTTTGATAAATCGAATTTAATTGTTGATAATCAGATTAATTAAACGCGCTACCTCTCGGCACATCACACAGTCGTAGGATACGTCAGTGCCCGTTAGTGTTGATACAGCTGACTCAATCAAATTACCAAAGTGGTTTTTTTAAGTACTCCCAAAGACCAGTCTATATCTTAGATTTAAGGTTAATACTTAATACGGACATTTTATATGTGTTGTGACGTGTAATAAGTATCTCACGTCATGTCCCTATTGCGTTTTTCAAAAAAAATCACTGGTTTGTTTTGTTCTTATCCTTAATTATTTGTTTGACGTTCCAGACATGTTAGTGTTCTTATTTATTTATATTTATGTTTTTGTTATTGTTGTGTTTTACATTTCAAAATATGAAATTAGAAAACTGTAATACCTGCATTATCCTTATTCTATACTTATAACTGGCATTGTATAAAGTAGTTCCCTCACTAGACAGAATATACAATATATTGTAAAACCTCAGTGTTGTCTATGGTAATGGGTGTGCTGTCTGCTGTTTGATGTATGTAAGGGGAACGAAAGGACAATTGACAATTACGATACCAAATAAACGGTCATCGTTCCCCAGTGGACTTTCCAGAAAACCAACTATATGCAGGTGTGCACAAGCTATTATCGCCTATGTTTTATCGTGCGCACATCATGCGTACATCGCTTGCATCGTGTGAAACAACACACATCGTGTATTGGTGTGCTTTCCCACGACTATTACATGAAATACCTACGACAAGTTTCTCTATAAACATCGACAGCTATTTAAGGGCCATGCCAAAGCAAACTTTATCTTATTCACACAAAACATATAAGTTAACATCTCATCTATCTCTATGAAATGCTGTCTACAGTCGGGCGAATTAAACAAGTATTGAATCATCATTGTTATACCAGGTTTTAACGTCAAGTGCAGATCAGCGCCGCCCTTCTCCGCTATCAAACTCATAACGGTAGATAGCCGTACGTCAAAGGCTAGTCACTTCATGTTTCATGTACTTTATAACAAAGGCGATGACGTCATTGCTACGTGTGATCTATTACATCCTACTATATGTGCCGTTTACCTGTGATAAGGTGTTAAAGTCTTACAAACCATTTCGTTATTTGTAGGTATTCAGCTTTAGCAACAATGATATATAAGCTATTGGTCAGCAAATATTATACAACTACAGTAAGGATCCAGAAAATTCTCATCGAAGTAATCACATAGCAGTTTACACCTACAACAGGAGTTATTAACAATAATGAAATATTAAGTATTTATCAACATTTATTTTACAACTACAGAAGGGATTTTGTTGACTCTCACTGATCTATTCATATACTTTATGCAATAACAGCAGCAACAACAACAACAACAACATAGACAATAGAAACAAAGACATCTTTAACAACAACAGCAACAACAGAAACATAAACATCTTTAACAACAACAACAACAGAAACATACACAACTCTAAAAACAACAACAACAACAGAAACATAGACAACTCTAACAACAACAACAACAACAACAACAGAAACATAGACAACTCTAACAACAACAACAACAACAACAACAACAACAACAACAGAAACAAAGACATCTTTAACAACAACAACAACAGAAACAGACAACTCTAACAACAACAACAACAACAACAACAGAAACATAGACAACTCTAACAACAACAACAACAACAACAACAACAACAACA